ACAAACGTTCCTAATTATGTTATCTTCAATGTAACAAAATCTATCTTTATATCGTTATTGAAATATTGTATATATAAAGTGACCATAATTGAAATTTATTAACTAAAAACGATCAACATTTATCAAATCATATTTCCATTTAAAAATTTTTCTGTACAAAAACGGATTTTTTAAAATAGTGTTCTTTCTTATCAATATTATATGCAAAGAACTATCAAGTCATCATTGTTATAATCAATGTTATAATACAATTATAAATAAACGTGATTATATGGATATTTCACATTATACTTTATATTACGATATATTATAATAAAATTGGATTTTAATTATATTAAAGATAACTCAATCAGGATTATTTGTAATTTCACTTTATAAAATGAATTAAAATTCAGCACATAATTTGCTTGACTCATAGCCTCCTTTTTCCAAATATTTATATTAATATATTATGATTTATGTAAATAGCACAAAATGAAATACATGAAAAATAAATTATATAAAATCATAATACCTGATTATAATGAAACCAGCATCCATGTGTCTCTACTGCTAGAAATTGTTCATTTATGACTTTCATGGCTGCCATCTCATAGTCGCTCATTATAAATTTTAAATTTTGTCGAATCATTGGCACTAATTCTATAACTTTATTCCAAATCGCTCTATACATATTACTAGAACGACTTTCACTCAAAATAAAGATTGTAGCAATACCCTGCAAATGTGTTAAATTAAAGTAAACTTATTATTAAAATTATACAAGGTATTTAAATATATAAAGATATGAAGTAGAAAGCCTAAATTATTGTTCAAACCGATAATATTATTATTTAAAATGAAACAAAAACATTGAAAAGCGTATATTTTATTACGAAAAAAAAGAAATCATATGATTTATTATATTTTTACATAATTTCTAATTTCACAGTGCGTGTATGTGTGTGCGTATGTATGTGTATGTATGTGTATGCGTATGTATGTGTATGTGCGTGCGTCCGTGAGTGTATGTGTAAAGCATCTATCAAATATATTATATTTTTTATTAACTTTTTCATATTTATTTTTAAAAGAATAAAGTCAGTGCTTATTAACAAAATGGTTTTATATTTTTAAAAACTGCTAATAGAAAACGAGTAAAATAAACTTCTATTATAATTGTATTACTTTTCCATGCTTTTTGTCTTTATTTATTGAAAAGTATTTGCCTGTAACAAATAGCAATTGATTATACACGCTGTTATAATGTACTTTCTGTTAATGTAACGCATAATGTATGTTCAATGCTTACTACATTCATATGTCGGATATGTAGTGTATACATTTGGCTCATCATTGGTACACGTGAAACAATCTAAAAAGTTTGCATTATTGAAATATGTTATTATCTTTATTTAGATATATAAAAAAGACAATGTATATTATATTATAAAAAATATGAACTTACATTAAAAGTGCCATCCACGTAAAGTTCTGTTGATGTTTGTAATTCTTGTAACAGCTCATTACTTGAAAATATTAATGCTTTTTTCCCATCTCTACAGGTCACATTTCCTTTGTAAAATCTTTCAAGAGGTTCATATGTTGATACATTTGCAATAAGAGTCTCCATATCTTTTGGTAAACTTGGGCGAAGTTTGATTCTTTCACGGTACAATGTAGGTTTTAATGTTGTATACGATAATGTTGCAGCTATTTCAGGATATCTATATTACAAGTACAAATATAAATGGGTAATAATCATAAATTATACGTTACAGAATTAGAATTACCTGGACAAACAAGATAGTACAGACATTATATAAGTAAATATGTATCAAATTATTTTTTACTTATAAAAGATAATATATTTTTAAATAACAAATATGAATAAAATAACTTAAATGACATTTCCTTTTTTAGTATAATCGCTAAAATATACATATCATTTTCAAATGTTTTTTTATTTTTTTATTAACTAGTGTATAAGAAATTATCTTATTTATAGTAATTATTCGTTGATTACATTTTTTGTAAAAAAAATTCGTAACATTTGATCCTTAAGGCTCCTGGTTCCTCGCCAACCATATTGGAAATTGTCAGACGTCAGAAGCGAGAAATTTACTTTGCAATATACTGTCAAATAAAAACTCGTTTATTCCACTTATGCTATTTTGTGGGAAATTAAAAAAACATTTTTTATTTGGTTTTGCAACTCAAAAGTTTTTAGGTGTTATATTTAATAATCTGAGTATTTTGCACTTTCATAAAAAGGATCGGTAAAACTTTTGGAGTTGCGAAACCAAATAAAAAATATTTTCTTTTAATTTCTCACAAAATAACGAAAGTGAATAAACGAGTTTTGATTTGATACCCCACATGTATGCCACAGCAATCTACAGTTAGTTTTCATTCATCTTTTTATTTGACAGTATGTTGCAAAGATTTTCGATGTGTAATTTCTCGCTTCTGATATCACGTTTCAAGATGGCTGTGGTCAGTACCCAAGAGCCTTATCTTATATTGAAATTCTTTGTAAAAATGTATGTTTATACAACTGATGGAATGTAATGGTTTAATCACGCTAGTTACAAAAAAATAATAGCATGAAACATTATACTATAAATAACATTCAATATATAAAATAAATAATGTATGTTGCATTCTACTTTTAAATTCTTGTTTCTCTTTTTGCACAGAAATAAGAATTTTTTAATCTCCATTTAAAAACTTAAGTAATCGAATACTATGAGAAGCCGGGCTTTGAACGAGCGACGTGCTCCCGCCCTTCTAGAGGGCAGCTCCCGAGTGGCGCGAGCCTCGGGGCGCCACGCTTACGTGCGGTCGTTGTGGGAGCTCACAAGAGCTCACGGTGTCTTAGCGTTCAGACGTGTATTGTACGAAGAGCAAATATATAGAGAGTTATAGAAATACGTGTGTTTTCCTGTCCACCTCGCCACGAATACAGTCACCGTTATCGAATAGCCTACAAATACAATAATAAAAAATATTATAGAATGATTATAGATAAGACAATGGTATATAAAAGTATTATTATGAAATGCTATAAACCTCTTTGCAATATTAAAAGGCGTTACCACTTTGTGTTACTTTCATTTTAATATATATTATTTTCTATTACATAGTTGACTATACAACATGAGTACAGTATTTATAACAAAAGCGATATTACAACAAGAGTATTTTAGGTTTAAAATAACTATAAATTAAATAAAAAGTTAAAAATATATTATAAGTATATTATATCATGTTATAATTATCAAGTATTTCTTGAAAAATCTTATATAAAGATATATGCATAAATTATTTATATCATTATGCATTTCATATAGATATTTAAAAAAACAAAAAAACAAGAGGAGTTATAATCTTTACTGTATTAAACCTTTAGAGGACAGGCAAGTTCTTTAAAAGATAAGCTGATCTCTATTTCATGACTATATTTTTGAGTTAAGATATTCTTATATATAATACAGTGTTTTATTCTGAAAAGTAAGAGATTCTTCTAGCTTAAAATAAATAGATTAAAATAGATTTCCTCCGGTACAATAACAAAATTAGAAAAGGTGCACAAAACTCTTATAATTATACTCATAGAATTGAAATAAAACTCATAGAATCAATTAATATTTGTTTTGAATAAAAAATGAGTATTTTTTTTAAATTATATGACCTAAAAATATGTATGTATCAAAAGAAATACTTACTTTCTGCAGACATTATCAAATATTTCTTTCAATGGTGAAGCTGTATCTCGACAAAGTTGCAACATTTCTTGCTTCATTGTAAATTGTGTTACTTTCCATTTTGTTTGAATATGAGTATGATCTTGGACTAAACGTACTTCACCATTATTATCAATTTTAAGAGTGCCAGAACATTTTGAAGATCGACGAGTATTACATCGTAGAATATTTGGATTACGAGAATCTTTGTTGTATGTGTAATCATTGTATACATAAATAGTAGTACCAGGTTTTTTTCCACATATTTCCTCCATCTAGAAAAGAACAAAAAAAATTAATATTAAAAATATAACTTCAAAGAATGACATCAAAATTGATTGAAAATGATTTGTTTGCGTGTATGCGCGCGCGCGTGTATAACAATTCCTTATAAATTCTTAGATTATTTCAGAATTCTTTTATGATACAGATATTAATGCAATTTTTAACCAATCATAAAATTGTGTTGTGTTCAGAATAGTTTAATGATTGTTACTATATGTATATATTTGCATAATTGTAAATTAATGCGTTAATCATGCGTCATAATGCAAATGCTCAATTGTCAATTAACGTGTATACCATTAGCAAAGGTATTGTAATATTAATATTGCGTCTCTTATTAACTTCTAACATAGTTTCTTTTTTATAGTTATAAGTAAACATTTTTTTACAGATAGATTAATATACGTAAAATTTCACATTAGATTAAAATAATCCCGTTAGGAGTATTTCATATGACTTTTAATTCTTTTACAATAATAAAGTATTTGCTTTTATGATCATAATAATAAAAATACAGACCATATTTTTTACTTTGTTAGTTTAATTGCTATTGAGTTTTTCTATCGGTAGTGAATAATTATGTTACAAAAATTTCGAGCGAGTCCTCAATTGTTAAACTAGCATAATTTCTTCATATATAAAATATATGTTGCAGCATATCAATAAGTAAAGTACAATTTTGTTTTTTGTTTTTTCTGGAGTTCGTCAACTTCTATCTCGATCGACACGTCACAAGAAACATGATTATCGGTAAAACACATAAAATAATGCATAAACAGGTTAGGAGGCAAGAAACAAAGAGTACATTATAGATTAAGCTTAAAACTCGAATGAAACACATTAACACGTGGAAAATGCAAACTTTTTGCTATTGCTATTGCATTTTTACTTACGTTCATAAAGAGAGGTAGAAGAGAAGCAGAAATACGTTTGTAGCAAAGAAGTTGCTACTTCTTGCAAAATATCTTGGTATATGTTGGTTTCCACTTTATTTCA